CCCCGCAATGTAACACTTCCATTTCTGCCCCCTGTTTTATGTCTTATATGTTTCTTTGTTAAGCGACCTTTATAAATTAAAGTTATTATTATTATATTTAAGAAGTAAAAGACAAGCCAAAGTTTCATCTGAGGGCAATACTGCATTATATTTTTTGAATTTACTGAGGGCCGATTCAAAATGGTCCACGGGGCGCATTTGGCCCCCGGGCCGTAGTTTGGACTACCCTGCTCTAGAGTAAAAAAAAAGGCTTTATACAGGATGTTTTTACATAATGCAGCTGTACTCCCTTACACCAGTAAACAGATTGTTATCCTGTCAGTGGAGTTCCCCTTTAATCAACATTCTTATCATGAGCCTTTGCACTACAGGCAGTCAAAAATCTTTATCGGTCCTATAAGGTACAAAAGATGCTCTCTTTGGACTGACCACCTGTTTTCTGTGTTTGTGTGTGTGTCACAGGCTCTTGGAGACTCTGACTTCCCTGCTGTGCTGAGGCAGCTGCTGCCCTTGATGAAGCCCCGTGGAAGCGAGGACAGCACGACCTCCGGTTCGAGGTCCGGGGAGGATGAAAGTGGGCCCGATGAGATGATCCTGCTGCTGGTCTACCTGTACTCCCTGGCTGACGAGGCGCAGCCTGCAGACCAGGACACAGAGAAGGAGGAGGAAGTGGAGAAGCTGGAGAGGGAGCTGATGGGAGTGCTCACCCTGGTCCTCACCCGAGAGATCGAGCTCAGCCCCTTGGTCCAGAAACTCACCGGTGAGAAATGTGATCACAATTGTCCTGATTGCTTCCAGGAGCTATGCTTGGTTTGCCAAATGTGCTGATGGTGGAAAACGAGAGAAAATAGAGTAGGAGAGTGGGAAAAGCTGATTGTTTATTTCCTCTGTCGGCCTCCAGTGCTGTTAATGGGAGGATTTGTATCAAAGTCTTCACACCCCATCTCTCTCCTTATACCATTGCATCACACTCTTTCAAGCACACACACACTTTCTGGTCAGTTTGGCAAGCGACTACAAAAACAGTCGAGTGTGGGAATGTCTGAACTTGCATGTGTGGGAGAGAAATGACCCTTCGCTTTCACATCTACGGCTCCTCTGCCACGACAATGAGCTTTACTTGCACGCCACACAGATATAGGAGCACTTTGTAACTTCCAGTGTGTGTGTTGGTTTTTACTGGTTTCTTCAGTTTCCTCTGTTCACCACTAGTCATTGCTGGTTTAGCTGAGCTGGTAGACGTGTGGTAGAGCAGATCAAGGCCTTAAGATGAATTATCCGTCTACCTCCACACCACAGCCAGCTGCACCTCCCAGAGTAATAGCGTCTTTAACCTTGAGCCGGTACACACACGGCCTCCTCCCCTGCCACATAGTTCATAATTAAAGCTACTTTTAGTTTTGGCCCGCTCCGCACCATAGCACACACCCTGAAATAATACACTGCTGTTTGTGGTTTTAGCTCATATCGCACATAGGCATATAGAATATATATAGGGGGTAAATGTATGTAAAGCACTAATAAAGTGTGTAGATATTCTTGCTCTGTTTGACTATGTTCCTTCTTATACTCTTTCTCTCCCTCTTCCTGTTCTACTTGGCTAAGTGCAGCTTGGAGTTGAGGGGCCTCTTGGCAGGCTCCGGCCGAGAGATGTGGCTCATGTTAAAAACCCGACTCTCGGTTATAAACACTTCATTGGAAATTACCCTGTCATAGTGTGCCAGGTGTGTTTTAGACAGAAGAAACGATGTGTGTGTGTACTCGTGCGCATATCTTGCCCATTCAGAGGAATTTGGCTGTGTGTGCACCCTGCTTTTAAACGTGAACGTGTGTATGCGCACGCACAAATGTCTGAGAGTTTTTATGGCAAGCGATGTAGTGCTTGGCTGGGGTAACATGAGGCGGGGGGTCGTCTCTCTCTGCATCCAGAGCAAAACACTGATTGTGACATTCTACCCAATTAAAGACTCAAATGGAAACCAGACGTTGAATGAAACCTGGTCGCCATGAGAACAATGTTTTTACAAATCCTTGTATTCTATTCCCCTTGGCTACATCACATGCAGAAACACAAGAACAGTAAACACACAAGAGTTGCAAAAACAAAGAGAAGAAATAACAAAAAAGGAGGTTTAGGAAAGTGTGCAGGACATGCTAATGCAACACAGCCCGACCACGCTAACTACCTCCTTCTGAGAACTTAATTAAAGAGCATCTTCAGGAAATGGTGATCCTCAGACTACTTTACTCTGTAGTTTGTTTTGCTGTCCATGTTTCCTGTGAGGCCCGGTGGACCTGAGTTCTCTGTGGTGATCAAACATCAACACATTGACAGTAAGACTGCAATTGTGAGCAGAAAGCAACAGTTTGTCTGTTACATAATCAATGAGGTGGATATTCTCCTTTTGTTTATGGAGATTTTTGAAAAATTAAGAAACGTTCATACCAGCAGTTAGTAAAAAGTGAAATGAGTTAACTCCAGACAATATTTTGACAGTTTTCCTGAAACTGTGGGGCACTAGTTCTTTAGCATACATTTATAATCACCCGAGAATAGAGTTTATTATGGGGTCTATTTTCAGGAGAACATTTGGTGAGTATTTACTGCAGCAGAAAAAGTATATATGGGTTTACTCAAAATAACCTACAGTGCCCATGTTCGTGGATATAAAGGAACATATCAGTCAGCGCAACACTGTGGCTCAAACAAGTGTTTAGTGTGTTGTTTTTGAACAAACATTGAGCCATATGGGAATGGTCTTATGTTTGTTTTTATTTTTTATCTTGGATAAGAAGTAAAGATCAGCGTTAATAGACACCTAACATGTTAACCAGAGTTTTGTGTCTCTATGTTTTGGAGCACAATACCTCTATTTTACAGACTGCATGTGAAATTCATATTCTACAGGACGGGACCGTGCGGTGTGTCTGCATTATTGTCTTAGGGTATGTCTTTGATAAAAGGGTTGAAAAGCATTTATTCAAGAAAAGGTTTCCGCTTATTGCAGCCTGGGAGATTAGGTCTTTAACCAAACTCTCCACAGCAGTCACCACATGTGGAAAAAGTATTGGGCAAAGATGCAAAATGCGAACATTAGTAACAGTGTGACTGGGTAAGGAACCCTCTGCTTCTTTATATCCTGGATTTCGATTGGTTGCTGCCAGACAGTCTGGTGTGCACTAGTGGTTTGTGATGTGTTCAGGTTGTAAACAGCACCAGGCTGTTTCTGTTAATCCCTCATTCAGTTGATGTAGAAATGGCACTGATATAAAGACTTCTTTCTGGATTTGTCTCCTGTCAGCTTTTGTGCCGAATCAAACCTCCTTTCTCTCCTTCTAATTTATTATTCTCTTCATCTCAACATTGAGGTACGTTGGGCTGAGAAGGAGGGCAATCCAACCCAAATGTTGCTCATTCTTCACCCCATGACAAGCTCCGGATGATGGAGTGTGTCTGTGCTTGTGTCAGTGTGTGGGTGTGCATCTATGTCTAGTAGTTAGAATGTGAACTCCCAGTCCCAACATGGTGATTTAGTGGCAGCAGTGACAGCAGAAGGAAAGGTCACAAAATAAAAGAGGTCAGTTAGAAAAACAGCTTCATTAGTGCAAGATTTGAACTGGGAATGGTTTCATGTCTTGATCCGCTCTCTCCCTGCCTCAGACACACATTGGGTTTGTTATTCATCCTGTCGCCGGGGTGTGCACGGGGCAAGGAGGGGCGCAGGAGGAGAGTCGGACCTCCCCAATGCGCTGTTTGGGTTGGCAAGGCAACACGGGCCAGTCAAGGGACATGAAAGAGATCACACATAACTCTGGCCACTAACTCCCTGACTGCCTACATCTCAAACTTTTCTTTTCTTTACATTTCTGTTTCCATTTCTTTCTCTTTCTCCCTCTTTCTCTCCTTTAACCACTGAGCGGTTTCTCCCTTTCCTCTCTCTCTGCGGTCCTAAAGCACCGGGCTGGTCGCAGGAGGAAGTGAAGCATACGCTCGTCTAATGATCGCGCCTGATTAAATATATTTCCCCTGTTGCACTGTGTTTATGAAATTAGTACCAATTATTTTTAATTGGTGGTCTTTCTTTACTTCCTCCACTGTTACACAAACACACATAAATGTACGAGGTGAACAGTAGAGCCCGGGGCGAACAAAGCAGCCAGTGGCGTTGTTCTCTCTAGTTCACTTCATCAGATAAGCTGATGACATGGAGCTCAGGCTTTAATTAACAAAGGCTCATCAGCTCCTCCCTGCTGGGCAGACAGCCCTAGTGAGCAGGCAGGGCCACACACAGAGACTGGGAGCAGACCCCCAGACTCGCACCCCACCAAGTCTGCTCACACGGTGGTTAGGTCTCCATACTGTACTCTTGTATTCATCCCACTGACTACTTTCTGCTCAACAGGACCCAAAAGCACAGTGTGACTTTTAGGCAAGCTAACAAATGAATAAAACTCTAAAGGCAGCATAGCAACATGGTGAACACAGTAGGAAAACCGTCCCCTGACAGATTGTGACTTTGGACAAATGTGTCCAATTAATTATTCTTGTTATTCAATATTTTTGTGTTAAACCTTCAACCTTGTGTCTGCTGCACAGAGCTAGTCTGGTTCTCTCATAACTTTCCTCCAGTCTCTCCGTGTTCATTGTGTATCTGTATGTTGGAGGCAGATTCATAAAGCCCTGACAAAAGCACTTTTTGTTTTAGCTTTAATTAGAAACATTTCTAACCTTCACAAACATGTTATTTTACATCAATTTCCTAGCCCCTAGCTAGTTCTAATTAATTGCGTCTTTCCACTGACTTTGTATGCAATCGCACTGCCATTAATATCCCCTTAGCAAATATTATTTTAAGTTATAGGCATCTTGGTCATTTTCTGTGGAATGTTGTTTTTCTGATGGGTGATACTGGTAAAAACTTTACATAGAACTCAAGGAAAGCTTGTGAAATCATATCCCTTTCCTCAATAGTAACAAAACAAATGCATGTGTCGTATTATCACTCATAAGCGAACCATCATCATCATCTGTCAAATAATTGAAGTTAGTAGTCGCCACAGTTGATCGGTTCGATTTCACAGAGCTAGCTCAGAGTGTAGTTTACACCTCTGTTTGTTTTATGGAGTGTGTTAGCGCTCAGCAGAGAATTCCTCTGCTTCTTATTTATGACAGGAAATGCACATCATAAAAGGCTCGTAAGCACTTATATCTCCGCTGGGAATCGGCCTAGTAGAATGAAAAAGGACACTCGCGATCCCACACAGACTTGCAAATAGACGCACACACACTCACTCCACAAAGCAAAGGCAGGAATACACACCAGGCGTGTATACCGGCCGGTTCCAGAGGGACTCTAACCGAGACAGCGGCCCCTGGCCCCTGCACGCGCTCCAGTGCAGGCGGGGGTCAGCCTCTGCCCCTTTGAGGGAGGGTCAGTCCAGCCAGCACGCACTACCCGCTGCCTCTCCTCTTCTGCAGGGACTCTCTTGGCTCCTCTTTGAAAACATCCCTCTCCATCTGCATACACATGTTTCTGCTTTACAGTCTGTACACACTTACACTCACAGACAAAGAATGTTCTCAATAATCGGAAGGCCCTAGAAACAAATGTCTTGGCTCAAACACCATTCATAAATAAGTGTATGAGTTTGGTGGACTGTTTGTGCGTGTGACTCTGATTTTTGCCAGAGCCACTTGGTTTCACAGAGTATCTGCTTCTTATCTGTTTGTGCGGAAGAACTTGTTTACGTTTAGGATTCCAGTCAGCAGTGAAAGATGACCTGCCCTAATGTACCCGCTTTCCTCCCCAAACTGTCCCCTCGCTCTTTCTCCAACCCCTCCTTCCGCTCTTCTCTTCAACCAGTGCAACTTCCTAAAATGTGTTATTCAGAGGAACACCCTAACCTTCTTTCACCTCATACTCCTCAATGGACGTCCATCTGTGAACTTGGCATTATCGGCTGTCAATAAAAATATTCATAGTTTAAGGCCTTGAGTCCAAAAATCTCAGCCCTGCTTTTGGGGACTACGCCCTCAAACAAGAACAGAATGATGCTTCCTGTGTTAGCGTTCTGTAAAAGCATTGGGAATAATCTAGCTCTCTTGGAAGTAAACATTCGATTCGATGTTCTTCTGCTCGGTTCTCCTGGGTGGAGAATTCCTCCGCGGCCTCGACACCAGATGGAAGCTCTCCTGGCGCAATGAGCTGGCCGGGTCATTTCCTGTCAGGAGGCCTGGTGTTAATCAAGG